AATATGTTATATATTAAATAGTTAACCAGAGTAAATGTTAACGTTTACAATGTTCCATAATCACAAAAATGATTACAGCAATGAGGGAGCAATAAATATTACTCTGTATAAACTATATATAAATAATACGGAGTACTACGTATAAATATTATAAACTATACTTATTATAAATATTTTGAATTGTATTACAAATCATATATTAACATATGAAAGAGCCCATGAAATTTCTTGCTATTCTAATTAATCATGCATCCATTAAACAACCCTTTACTTTTTTTACATATGTTTATTTGGAGTATAAAAACATTTCGGATTATTCAAACACTATTAAAATATATTTTGATTTCATTGCAAAAAAATATGTAAATTTAAAATGAAATTACTACATACCATTAAAACAAAGAGAAATATACCCCTAGTATGACTAAAACTCTCTTTTTCAATACTATGACTCCCATGTTTCCCCCCAAATTGTGTCATTAGTCAACCGACTCATGCAACCTTCCTAGCGTTTAAATTTTTTCATTCCTTCTCTACCCTCAAAGTTTTCTTACGGTAATTGATTTATCTAAGAGAAAATCCCCGAATATGGGAGTAGAACATAGATACTATGCCAAAATAGGAGTCCTACTATGTAAATCATGTTTGACACGGAATTTTTATGTAAGTGACCATAATACCCTTAATGAAAGCTAGATTATTTATTAGTTATTCATTAATTAATACGAAGCATAAAACAAAATATAAAAATAGAGTTTTACACAGGTCTAGTCTACATACTACCACACCTTGGTGCTGCCAGCCACCATCTCTTGTGCCGCCGCCGTCGGCTATGCCGCCGCAGCAGCCGCTGACGTCACCAATGTGCCGCTGCTCTCAAGAGAGTGTTCATTTGCCACTTCCGTATTTTCCAGCGCCGCCGCCTCCCTCCGGCGAGCCCTCCGCCTGGACTGCTGTGGGAGAAGCTAATTCGTGTCAGGCTTAATTGATTACAAGCAAATTTTATATTGATTTTGCTTTAATTTTATCACATCCATTTCATCAATTTTGCTTCAATTTTACGAAATCTATCTCCAGATCTGTTTTATCTAAAAAAAATTGTTGAATTTTCTACTTTCTCTTTCAATTTTGTTTTGGCTAATGTTTTTTTATATTTCATTTATACTTGACAATACAAATATAAATTTTGTAATTTTCCGGATTATTTTCTTAATTGAATCTATAATTTCTAATGTTATTTTTGCACTTATTGCCATATTTTTGCCATTTCTTTTGTTACTCAACCGGGATGGCAAACAGTGCCAAATTTTTATTATATACAAAAGACGTTATTTTTGCATTTATTGTCATTTGTGTATGGCACAAAATACATGAAGATGTCAATATTATGAATGCAAAATGACACTTTTTGCCAACATTTTGAAAACATGATATTTGTAAAATAATTTTGCCATCTTTTTTTTTTAATGCAAAATGACATTTGTTGCCAAACATTTTTAAAACATGGCATTTGTAGAATAATTTTGCCATCTTTTTTTAATGTATAATTTTCCATCTTAATACATTCAACGTACATCATAAAAATGACATAGCTTTCAAAAAACGTTTTGTAAAACAATTTGCCATCTTTCATGGAGTTAGTTCGTATTAAAAAATGACACTATGTGCCAATACTTTTACATGGAAAAACATGTTATTACTAGTATATTTATATTTGCAAAGGAATAATATTTTCATCTTAATACCATAAAAATTAGCTTAGAATAGCAATTAAGACATTTTCAGATTCAATTCACAAAATAATCTGAAACATTACAAAAATATTGTTTGAAACCAAATCTCGAAAATTATATTCTGTATTTATAAAATATGAATAAATATCAAAAGAACAAAGCTAAACAAAATTGAAAGAGAGAACAAAAAAAAGCAATAAACAAATCCGATAATAAAAATCTGGAATGAAATAGATTTAGAAAGAAAGAACATTAAATCAAAATCAAACCAAAAATTTGCTTGTTGTAATCAAGCTGCCGGACAGAAATTAACTTTATCCAACATACCAGCAAAAGTTTGCTGCACCACCTAGCTAGCGAATTAAAAAAAAAAACAGAAGGGGAAGAAGAAGAAGAAAAGAAGAAAGAAAAGAATGAAGAAGAGGAGAAGAAAATAAAACCTTACCTACGCTGATTGCCGCCGCTCGCCGGTGCCAGAATTGGGGAGAAAATATCAGCAATCAAAGCTTTTTAAACTGTCGGAAATGGAGAAGTGGGGAAAAGTAGATGGGGGGAGGAGATGAAAACAGAGAGAAGGCAGGGTTGTGGGCTTGTTGTGTGAGAAAAGGAGATAGATCTGACAGAAAGATAAGGAAAGTAATTTAATTAATTTACCAAGAAGGGTATAATGGACAAATGATACGGACCGGTTAGTTAAGAGCTCCTATTTAAGGAATAAATTAATTGGAACTCCTATTTTAGAATTTGATAATATTATCTAATTAATAGACTGCTTGGTCTTCTCATTTTCTTCCTATATAACCGGTTTTCATTACATGATCAATCCGTTTAAACAGGTAAGGAGATATTCTTGATTACTCACGTCTATGAAACTGTATATCGACGGTTATTGTTCATCGATCTCACATCCGATCTCCTGCAACCATACACTTCTTCTTCATGGAGTTTCTTTGTGATTCACACCAATCTTATCGCACCACCTAGGACCAATAAGGTGGAGAATGTTGGAGGTATTCGTCCTAGCAAGGTTTTCCTTCCATTTTATTATTGACCTGCACCCCATGTTTACTCCCACTTTGATACCTCTTGTTTTGAATATCTCCTAACCAATAATATGGCCATTTTGACTTATGTGGAGTGACCCCTTTGAGCTGTCCGCTGTTGTCCTCCTTGTCTTTGCATCACCCGTGAGTGTCCTTTGTGTTGGCCAGCCTATTATTTAGCTAGCTCCTTTCTTCCTTGTTTGAGCAGCCTGCATGAGATATTTCAGAGAGAGAGCAATGTCCTTCTTCCTTCTTCCTTTTCTTTGTCTGAGAGGGAGAGAATACCTTAATGGTAGAGAAGAAGCTTGGTGAGGTGTTATGGTCTAGCCTAGAGTGGTGTGTGAGTATAGCAAAAGGGTTGGAGACCTTAGCGCCTGAGCCGGAAAGAAATCGATCCTCAACACAGAAACTTCATGTGATATACTCATTTACAATTGAGAGTAGGTGCACCCATATGTAGCCCTTCTTTAATTAGAGGATAAAATTGATGATTAACGCCAGACCGATTATAGTCTCAATTAGTCCACACTTGAATTGACCCATATTATTTGGGCGGATTTAATTTTTCATGATTTTTCACGCCGAAGTAATGAACAATCCATTATAGAAATAAAACCACTTCTTATGATTTATAAAAGGTGACAAGTTTGATACCCATTTAAAAAATGGGGTATCATACCTTCCATTCACTTGATTGGTCCACATCGTTATATTATTTTTAATTTAGATTTAAATAATTCAACTGCAACTATCTTATTGGTCCATGTGGACAAAGGTATGATACCTTATGAGTACCATAGAAACTACCTTTATAAAAACAGCAAATCCATTATAGAAATAAAATCCGATCAGCAAATCCATTATAGAAATAAAATCCGATTTATAAAAAACAGCAAAATACATCTAGTTTTCCCGATACCACCATACGTATTTATTGCTCATCATACATAGGTCTCATGGGTATAACATACGCAGGGGCGGATCTACTAACAACTAATGGGGGCAGCTGCCCCCAATAAAGGCACACTAAATTCATTAGTTTCTTTATTAATATTAGCAGTTTAAGCATTTGCCCCCAACAAAATAAATGGATTGCCCTGCCCCCAATACTCAAAGATTCTCTTACCCGCATTAGCCTCCGAGAGGCATGTTAGCCGCACACTCAAAGCCATTATTTAAATATTTAGGCTTTAATAATTAATAATAGATATAAAAGTATAAACCTCTTCACTTTATGTTTACGGAGTATTTTTACCGTTTAAATTAATATATTTGCTATTCGAGTGTTGGCCTAATTGATACGGAGTACTTGTTCAGTTGTTCAATCCTCCGTATGTTACTTTTTTTTATCGTATTGTATTGTTTACTTGTTTAAGGTCATACATTATCTTTAACTTTTGCATACCTATGAATATTATAATTTTATTAATGTATTATAGGAGTATTGATTTACATCAATTAGATATAATTTTTTTAAAAGGATCGAGATTTAATGTTATGGATTTAACTTGGTGTAATGTTTACACTATTAGAAAATAGAAAATGTCATTACTCCCTCCGACCCACTATAATTGTTCCAGTTTTCTTTTTCCATCTATCACCATAAATTTGTCTCATATCATATTTAGTAAGATTTGTGTGGTTGTAATTCATTCGTACCTTATTTTCATTTTATCAATTCATTATCAAGCACATAACTCTATTTTTCTATAAAAACGGATCACTCTCTTTTGTCAAAGTATTAGAGGGACGGAGATAGTAGTAAGTTTTTTTTCGACTATAAGATAGTAGTAAGTTAGAAATCCTAAATGTATATAATATATTATTTTAGGTAGTTAATTAAAATGAATAATGTACTAAAAAGTGTAATCTTAATTTCACTTCTTTTTTATCTAGACTCAAGAGAAAATACTTGATTAAAGGACTTTGTCAACCGCGAGGTCATGACTTCCCATGAAAGTGTTACAAATGAAACTGTAATAGATATCTTCCGAAAGATGAAAACTAGCTAGCTCGACGCGAATTTTGTCATGTATTTTGTTAAAACTTTTGTTATTGTAATATTATATTAATACTTTAATTTTTTTGACACATTATATTTTTTTAATACTCTGCCCCCAATAAGTTTTAATCCTAGATCCGCCACTGAACATACGTATAGTAAAATATAAGTAACAAATTGAAAAATGCAAAGATCACAACTCACAAATAAAATTTCAATTAGCTTGGGCTATGTTCTTAAAGAACACCTTTGCAAACTCGACCAACTGATCAGTTGAAGGTAACACATCTCTAAGGGCTTCATCAACGGCAAAATCGTCAATCCAATGAGACAAATTGGGAAATTTGATATCATCAAACAATTTAACATTGTTAAACACCTCAATGGCTTTAAACCAACCTACGAAACTTCCAAGAACAATGTCTAGGAATCCAATCTTGTCTCTGCCAAAGAATTTCCCGCCTTTTCTGCAATTTTTGAAGACATCCTCCAATGGAAACACCACTTCAATAAGATTATCTATTTCTTCTTTTCCTACTCCCTCGTCCGCCGCAGCTACGAATGCCCGTACCATGGGAAATATCTAAACCGAATTATAAATTAAGGTGTCTCACATCGGTCATATATAAAAAATGCAAACTATAACATAAAAGGAATTGCTAGAATCATTTTATCAAATACGAACTGGAGTATACATTCGCAAAAAGAAGACTATTAAGATCTGAAATTTAATTCTAAAAGGTCAACTTGATAGGAGTAATAGTTTATAGTCTTATATAGTACTATACGTACTTTATTATTTTATAGCTTTTGGTGTGGTATAAATGCTTTAACAAAGACAACTAGACGCATACCTTATCATCAATATAAACCGCCCAAAAACGGTTCATGGCCCGATCATACGGATCACTTGGGAAGAAGGAGGTATCAGAAGTATTCCAGACATCATCTATATACTGAACGATGGCGAGCGATTCACATATCGGCTTGTCGTTGTGGACGAGGACGGGTATTTTCTTGTAAATCGGGTTTAGTTGAAGAAGAAGCTCACTCCTAGGCGGCTGTAATTGCACCTCAACAAATTCATAATCTACGGATTTAAGTTTAAGAGGGAGTTTGATACGAAGCACAAAAGGGCTCCACCATGTTCCCAACAGCTTAACCTGGTCAGATGCCATGACGATGATCGATGGGATTCAAAATGGTCTTAATATTGAACAGAGGAGGAAAAATTAAGCTTAGAAATCTGAGGTGTTTGTGTGTGTATTTAAGCACACCCAAACATGAGAGATCAGGCAAGAACACAAGGACACTGACATCACTGCATACGCATTTTGAAAGAATGAAAGTCAACGTTTTAGTGCCAACTTTCAAAATTGACTGACTTTATTTTTTAATAAAGGCAAAATTCATTGACTTAATTGACACAAAAAGTTCAAATAGTCTGACACTTGAAAATAAGAGAGAATTATTATTAGGATATTTTATAACCAGAGAGATGTGATTTAGTCTAATGTGGTATGATATGTTTAAGTCTGGTCTGATCTGAAACTGAAAACAGACCAAGTAAAAACATCCTTATACAAATTGGAGTAAAACACGTTCAATTTCAAAAGTAAAGTGAGGGTTTAAAATTTACTAAAGAGGTTTATTATTTATGTTTGGTCAAAAATACGATTGTAAGAATTGGAGTATTGCCCTCGCTGGATCACTTGACCGCCGCCGTTGCCTACCTGAAATTCACCGCTGCAGGCCATCGGACTACCACTACCGCCAGACTGCCTTAGTTATGTTGGAGAACTAGCTTAGAGGGTAATTTATAATTATTTATATCAAGGGTAGAAATGTGATATAAAATGTGAATAGAACTATGTTTTAGTCTCATTTAGTGCAATTTTCTAGGGGTGGGCAAAAATACCGAACCGGCATGGTACCGAACCGGACCGGTATGGTACCGGACCGATAAACGGGGTTTGAAACGGGTCTCAAATTTTTTTGTCCCGAACCGGACCGTACCGATTCCAAACAATGTCATGACGGGTTCTCATAAAATGAGAACCGGTACCGGACCGAACCGGACCGAAGTATGCTTAAATTATTTAAATTTGTACTATTAATTATAGTTTATCTAAAATTTATTAATTACCTCACACGTTCTAAATTGATTTGCAAAGTTAACATGTTTGGTCAATGTTAATGTCAAGTCCTCCCAATAATAATTAATAATCCGTACAATTTTTAGTAATTAAAATATCACATATTTAGAAATCACATTAAAATATATTTAAAGTTGCAAAATCCAAATTAGTATATAGGAAGTACTTTTTTCTGAAATGCCAAATTAGAATATAATTAAAAAGTGATATCGTAATTAAATGAACAAAAAGAAACTGTTTGATTAAAAAAGATTGACTTTGCAAATCATTTTGGAACGGGGGTAGTATGAAATATGAAAATTGTTAAATTGTGTGGATTTTTGGAGGATGCCTAAACTTTAATTTTTCCTTGAACACTTGGAAAAGATGGCATTATTTGGCATTGGTATGGCATGGTACCGTTCTGTTTGAAAATGGACCGTACCGAACGGGTTTAGGTCTAAGACCGAACCGAACCGTTTCAATAGTAACGGTACGGGTACGGGTTCAGACAAATATTGGACCGGACCGGACCGTGCCCACCACTACAATTTTCTCTAAAGTTCCTCCCTCTATATTTTCGTAAATGGCAAATTAGGTATTTAGGAATGATTAAGAAAGATAAAATTCCCTAAATGGGATTAAAAGGAGTACAAAGTTCATATGTCGGATTATCAGATTATGAAATAGGACTCATTTACTCACATTTTGGGATGTTATAATTTAACGTATTCTTCCAATAAGATTAAATAAGTCATATTTGAAGAATGAGATATTTTAATCCAATTTTTGAACATTTTCTATATTTTGGTCCTATGTTGAGAAACTTCTATTCTTAATTCTATTTTTTAACATTGTATATGCCTAAAGAAAGAATAAACAAAATGAGTTTTTCTCTCTCCAGGGTTATCGGCCGATAACCCTTAGTTAGTTTTGTTCGCCTTCGATCATATCGAAGGGCGAGTTTTATTGGTTGCTTAGGGCGGTGCTGTCTGGAGGTTAGGGTGGTGCTGTTTTGGAGGGTTCGGATTGGTGGAGAGGGCAGTGGTTTTGGTTTTATAGCCAGACTATTCGGGAGCTTCGGGAAGGTACGAAGACTTCAGATTGCCGATTGATAGCAGTAGCAGGGTCTGCGGCAGAGGTTTTACAAAAGGCTTATGGAAAGTGTTGTTGATCGTTACAAGAATATGGCAATAGGTGACAACGAAGAGGAGTTGAATCTCGATGAAGGGGAGATTGAAGGAAGTCCGGCGGAAGAGGCGGCGATCGGTTTTCCAGTGATCGGCCAGGTGTTGACTGACCGCAAGGTCAAGTTCCCTAATCTCAAAGAGACGATGCTTATGCTTTCGAGGTCGGGGAAAGGTTTGTCGGTGAAAGAAATCAGTGAAAAAAGGTACCTGTTTTCGTTTAATCATCGTTTTGATATGAAGTGTGTGCTTGATGGAGGTCCTTGGCAGTTTGAACGTAGTCTGGTAATGTTAAAAGAAGTAATGTTTGATGATATCCCACACAAAATTATATTAAACGAGACTGAGTTTTGGGTCCCACTACTAGAAAAATGTCCTATAGTGACACCAAATTAGTGTCACTGAAAGTTTCTGTGACACTAAAAAAGTGTCAATGAAAGTGGGATCTAGTGACACTTTTTAAGTGTCACTACAAGTGTCACAAAATTGTGACACTATAGTATCACTAGTTAGTGATACATAGGTGACATAACTATTCGGCGACACTTTTACATCACATATTCTAGTGACACCGCGGTATCACATAATTATGTTTTCCATTCAAGCAACACCATACTTTAGTGACACTTTGGTATCACTTTGTTTTGCACTATTTCAGCATTCCATTTCATGGGTAATTTAGAAAATCCTTTTCAATTATATTTAAGAAATTCCAATTCAATAATAACTGATCACAATATATCTACAATATAATTTAATACTAATAAATAACCATAATATCAAAATTTTTATTTATATCTCAAATTCTCACATAAATGTGAATGTACATACTACAACTACATAATTCATAGGGGCATCCCCAAAACAATAAATAACAAACAAGAACAAAACGCTAACTAGTCCAACTTTTACACCATGCTTCACAAGGCGTTCGCATTCTTCTTATACGTAGACATCACATTTTCTTCTACACATAATAAAGGCCTCTCTGCTTTATTATACCTTTATTTCCTTCTTTCTTAGCCACAACTACAAGCTAGTTAGCACAAAAGCTAAAGATGATTTGCTCTTTCTCTTCCTCCTGCAAAAAGAATCAAGCAAAAATATAATTAAAAAGGCACGTAAGAAAAGTAGTAGTGGACTAGTGGTTCAAGAATATATATAGTATAACAGTATAAAATTAAAAGGATTTGATTATGAAGATTCCCTCCATGCATAGAAAAGCTAGATCGAACTAGTAGCTTAGGGGATAGGACGGATGGAATTAGAATTCTTCACTCTCTTCTCTGGTTTTTGTTTTGCTTTCCAAATTAAAATACAGAGAAAGGTGAAAGCAAAGCAGAGAGGAAGTACAGATTACCCATTGAAGATATGAAAACAACCTTTCATTTTGACCACCAAAAAAGAATGGTACAATCTGTTCATATCACAATTGATTGGGCAAAACAGCACAAAGAAAGAAGAAAATAACAACAAATCAATAGTTTGGAATATAATCACTCAGTCAACAGTATATATCAACACCACAATTTATCAAAGGCCGGTGGATAAAATTAACAAAATAGTTTATTAACTATTGAAATCAATTTCAGGAAAAACATCTGGCAGAAAAGTTAAATCAATTCTCGGAACCTGTTACATTCATAAGAAAAGTGTAAGATATTAGTTAGAACATATATAGATAAAATATATTTCGTATATATTTTTATTAAAAAACTGGCCCGGGTCGAGTGCATGTTTTTTTATGCTTCAACACTCCAAGCTAAAGGCCGATAAATTTCCACTGTAAATATGCTTCAAGTGGTTCTCCTATCTGCAGGTTAGCTCATTCTCACAAGTCATAGTGGGAAATTATAGAAAAAAAGAATAAGGGAAGTAGGGAACACATAAAACTTTGATTCATACCAGAAATGCTACAAAGGATAATTGATTTTCCCATGGAAGTGAATCTTAAATTCTGCCTTACTCCTTCGCTAGAATGGTATCAAACACAGGCGTCTGCACGAATAGTTTATGAGAAAAGTTGTTTCTATAAATAGAAGTTGATAAAAAATAAGTAAAATACAAAATAAACCAGACATATAGCACAATTTCAAGATTCTTTAACAGTACTAGGAAGCCTTTTTTTGCAACAACTATTGGCTATTAAGATAATAATTGCAGAGGGTGGGAAAATATTTACACTAAAATGGGAAAGTTAAATAGCAATTAAGATTCGAGGTATATGCAAACTAGCCAACACAAACCTATCCTGAATGACTCAGGCAGTGTATCAAAATATAACTTATATTTTGAGTCATAGTTGTGCTTCTCCCTCATGCTCCATATTAACAACATTATTTCTGAGTACATCCCATCTACTGCTTTCAAAATAGAATATTGTCCTAGAAGAGAGAGAGAGAGAGAGAGAGAGAGAGAGAGAGAGAGAGAGAGAGAGAGAGAGGTTGTTAAATTAAACTAATGCAATTCAAAGTCCATAGTTAACAGCTTACATGTTTTTTCTAAGTAACTTAGTTGCTTATAGGAGATCAAATATAGATTATTAATGAGCATAAAGGAATATTATGAAAAGTTCTTAAGTTTCAAAATAAAGTAAAAACAAAGGTATGTACCATGTCGGATTCATGCACAATGTTCTCAGATATGATAACAGATATGGGGACCTCCAGTGCAATGTCTCCAACGTTCAGGTCTTGAGTTGCTATGGCGCCTCTTCCAGCTCCTCCAACACCTGCAGATGCAGCTATATCAGAATATTTTGAATTAGCTTCCTTGCTTTTCCTCTACTGATTACAAGAACAGGACATGATGTTTATTTTTCGGTATAATATATGATGGTACCGGTGTTTTACATTCAAATAAGAGAGTAGGAGAAGTGGACTCCACCCACTTTTACTGACCTGGCTATTTGCCAACATAAAAAAATGGGACTGTCAACACATCATAGAATACCTCCTTTTTAGTTTTATGTAAAATTTTAAATACTTGAAAAGATGAATGAATTACTTGTATGAGATTTATCTTCCATGGAAATGCATTTTGATTAATTAATAACTTACAAGCTATCCTCAAATTATAGAAAATAAGTCTAAAAGGCTAAGTATTTAAAGGCTGAGTAGAAAGTAAAAGGCCGAGTGTGGTAAGTTACAAGGAAAAGAAAGCTAACAATTGAAAGTTTCTTTAAGCAATAAATGGCATTTGGAATAGTAATTGGGGAGAATTAGACTTCATAGCAGATGCAAAGGGCAAAGGAAAATATGGAAAACAAAGCAATGGGGTAAAAAACATTAATACAAAGCAACAAAGTGATCAAATCATACCGGGAGGTCCCGGAATGAATCATATTTGAGTTGCTAACTTTAAACTAGGCATAAGATATGAAGAAATACAAGTAAGGTTGATTTAGTAGCTGAAAAAAACTAACATTCATCGAGTAAATGAAACTAATATATACTTACAGACACCCACTACATCATGTCTTCCAAGCAGCTGAAGCACATCGAATTCTAGCAATTGCATCTTTGTCAATTCTTCTTCAATAACTTGCATAACATGCTGAAAACATAGAATTGCAAAAAAAATCAAATCTCGACAGATAGAAAGGATTAAGCCACTAGGGTGGTTTTTTGCCATTGTATTTCAATTGGGACCAAATAGTAGATTAATACGACAAATTGATTTAGAAGAAATCATTCAACTATAACCTAGCGATTAGATAAACAGAAAGAAGAGAAATTTACACACATACCATAAAATGGATGGCAATCAGTGAGGAAGATGATTCACGAGGTCGGGGAGAGAAACATCGGAACCAATCGCTTGTTTGGGTTGTACGAACGAGAAAAGAGGGGTGGTGAGCGTGTGATGGTTCGAGCAATCAGTTGGGGGAGTTAATCAACATGGAGATGAAGACTCGCGGCCGACATAGTACCGATCGATGTTGAATCGCTGCAGATGAAGCCAACTGTGTATAGTTTGAAGCGGGGAGGTCGTTTGATGTCTTCTACTCCGGAGTCTGGGCTGCGCGTCGACGGCGTTCTCTTCTACTCGGGAGTCTGGGCTGCGCATCGATGGCGTCTCTTCATCTCTGGATCTGGACTTTCATAGTCTTCCCACTTCTAGAGGTGGAGTGCTTTAGGAATGTGTATGTGCATCGAGGTCTTTAGGTCAGGGACAGGAGTTCAACTATTTACTCCGTAAAAAGTACACCGTATGATTTTTACTCCGTGTTAAAAATTGAGTGTCACTATAGATGGTGAAATCACTTAGACTGATACAATAGTGTCATAAACGCCTAATGTAATGGATAGTGTCACTAAAATAGTGTCACTGTAAGCAGTTTTTCTAGTAGTGTCCATATTCATAATGTTCCCTACAGTCTTGTTAATCTGGGTACTGCCAGGCGTGTGGGAAATTTCATAGGGGAATTTGTTAAATATGATGATAACCAAAAGAAGGATAGATTAGAGCCATTTTTTAGGGTTAGGATTCTCTCGAAGATGGATAAATCGCTGAAGAAGGGGACAAATCTGAAAAAAGATGGTAAAAGTTTTTGGGTAGATTTTAAATATGAAAGATTACCCAATTGTTTCTTCATCTGTGGTTTGATTGGACATTCAGATAATTTTTGTCCCTTAAATTATGAAGAAGGCTTAGTCTTAAAAAAGGTTTGGATCCCAACTTAGAGCAGGAAGCGGGGTGAAGACGAGCTCGACAGGAGGGCATAATTGACTCTTGGAGGGTTCATCGAGCTCTGGCAGAATGGGTGGCGGTCCAAAGGCATCCAAGTCAGATGGAAAGATTGTAGAAAAGGAGAAAGTGTCAATGACTGAATCAGCCCAAAGTTATACACAAGGAGGGGAGGAGCCAAAAGAAGAGGTTTCTAAGAGGAGGAAGATCTGGGAAACTCAGACAAAGAGGGGCCAAGTGGAGGACACCATGGCTATGGATGGGGAAAAAACGGGGAGGAGGCAGGCTTTGTTCCATAAGCCCGCCGAAGATGCTGGTTGAAGGTTGGAGGTCGCAAGTCAGAGGGATGGTTCGAGTGTTCTGGCTGAGACAGGAGTGTTTTTTATTTTGCTTTGTTTGCGACTTTATTAATGTTTGCTTTTGTTATGGGTTTTGTTTCGTCATTTATTTTGCAGTTTGTAAGACGTTGAGTTTGGATATGGGGGATGAGATCGGAGGAATATGGGGGCCGTTTTTGGCTTTTTGTTTCCCAGTTATGGATCAGCAAATTTTATTGCTACGACGATTAATTCCGAGTCTGGTTCGAGGGATAACGGTTGTCAGATTTGTTTTTGTCATTTGACCTATACTCTGAAATATTGGTTATTAATATAAGTCGAATTCTTCCAAAAAAAAAACATTGTCTATGCCTATATATGTTTTCCTACTTCTTTCACTTTTAAATTTTAGATTTCCCTCTTCTCTTCCCTGTATTTTCTACTTGTCCTTATATTTTATAGAAAAAATGACATGAATAATTACTACTCCGTACTCCCTAATAGAATTCTACAAAGGTAAAAAATATGACCATATGTAAACGAAAAAAGTGACTGGACATGAAATGATGTACTCCGTATAGAGTTTCACCATACTAGTCAATCCACCCGTGCGTTGCACGGGGAACAAATGAAATCAATTTTTTTTATAAAGAATTTATTTCATGAGTAATGTGTGTATACATATTTATTGTAGAAAAAAATAAAAACATGATACAAAATTATATTAGAATACATGTATGATAATTGTTAGTCCGTTGGACATACACCAATTAGCATAAAACTATAAAATAAGTATCCTTTCATCCCTAACAAATCTTGTCTAATGAAGATGATAACAATTGTTTTTTTAGATGATAACAATTGTTATCATATTACAATCTCATATGTCGTATTATTTATTTATAATATAATTATGATGATTATTCAACACATGACATTACTTTTTAATATCGTGCTTGTTGTGTTTTAAAGTTTCTAAATATATTCCATCTAAAAAGTGAAAATATTTATTTTATACTCCATATATAATATCTCTTGATTCATCTCAATATATGTTTTATAAAAGCTACAGATCAAGATTGTTAAAATCACTATATGTTTTATAAGAACTACATATCAATGTTGTTAACATCGCGAGTTGAATCGTAAAACTGTATAATCCAATATCATTGAACCAATTTGACTCGTACACAAAATTGAAAATGCTAAAAATCTTTTCAAAATTGGGAAACATTATTTAAAATTATGATTTCAACGAATTTTTAACATAGTTACTTATTTACTAATGAATAGTTATAGTAGAATTAAATAATTGAATTTTTGTATTTTTTGTTGCAGCTAATTATAAAAAACAATGACTCCCTCATCTCGTTAAATTGTGCTAATTTTATTTTTGCAGCTGCCCCAACCAAAATTGTCATTTCTATTTAAACTAATAAATGTGTATGTAAATTATTTTTCTCAACTGATTTGTAAGAATATGAATCACATACAAAGTAATTTTTACTTCATTTATATTCCACATGCAAGTGAATTCTGAACACATTTAATGGGGTACTGAGTATTATCATTGTCATTTACATAATATTTGTATCCAAATATATTGTAATACTCTATTTTATATTCTGAAATTAGAAGATTTCATTTTTAACTTTATTATGTTATGTCTCTTAATTAATTATGTATAATGTATCTTTTAATATTTTTCTAATATTTTTTTTTAATATTTAATGTATTTATGCTCAATATAATTTTCAAAGTTTTATTTATAACATACAACTATTAATTAGGTTGGCACTTAATATGGCATCACTAAGTAATGCTTCATTAAAGTGACAATAATTTTATAAAGTTTTATTTATAACTTACAAAAATTAAATAGGTTGGCACTTAATATGACTTCATTAAGTAATGGTTCATTAATAGTGACAACAATTTTTCACTTCTTTTGGCTCCAAATAGATTTCTATTTGGATCTCCACCATGTTCTCTTATATATATAAAGATATTTATTTATATTTGAAACTCTAGCTAGTTTAATAGCAACACTATGGTAGGTGAACAAAAAACCTGAAAAACGGAAACCGATAAAATTTAACAGAAAATTAAATCCGACTAAAGTCTTAAACCGATTAAGCCATCAATGATTCGGTACAGTTTAAACTTTTGGGTTAAAAAACCGCTCGAATTGAAATCGACCAAAACATGTTAAAACTGGCCGAAACCAACACAAACCAATCGAAACTGAGTCAAGTTGTGCAGTCCGATTCTCGGTTTTACATCTTAAATCGACCGACTACAACCAATATAAAAGAAAAACCGAAACTAACGAAATCGAACCGACGAACACCGCTTGGCGTATGGAAATAAACTCCTCTTCTTAATCACAAGATGACAATTGATCGTCTTCTTTGGTCACTCCTATGCAATAAACACCACAAATGATTCAGTGGCAATGGCAACCCCACAAGTGGCAATGGCTCCCACACGAGGCACAACGATGACCAGAGGTCCATAACCCTCCTCCTTTGATGGTTACATTACGATTATTATGAGATGCCAACCGGCCAGTAGCTAGTAACCATTATTGACCATCTCGTCTAATTAGGATTGTGTTGGTCATTGTAATGGATTTGTTGAGTGGTTACCATTATTGATTATAATCAAACAGAGTTTTTGAAAACTGCGAATTAAAAGTAAAAAAATGCTGATACAATGTTTACCAAACTTTCGTAAATTCTGATATTATTCATTATTTTTATTGTCCTTACATGCAGCGGCGAACCCAAAGGGGGGCAAATGGGGGCCGCCCCCCTCCCTCCAATTTTTTTCCCTAGGTATATGAACTTGCCCTAAAAATTTTAATGCATATGTATTTGTATTTATTTTTTATATTGCCGCCCCTCCTGGAAATCTTGTGACCGCCGCTGCTTACATGTAGTACTTGCTTATATTGCGCAGGTCCCTTCGTATTTAATAAAATGGCATGTAACAAAGTGAGATGGGCATATATGGGATTACAAAAAGCGACGCAAAATCCATCTAGTTAGGCTGAGATCTTTTGTTGGACCCTTTAATCAACTCAACCAACTTCTCAGTTGAAGGCAAGACATTAATAACAGCATCATCAATAGCAAAGTCCTCAATCCACTTGGACAATCTGGAAAACCTTGTTTCATCAAACAACTTAATGTCATTAAATGTCTCAATGACCTTGAACCAACCTACAAAGCTTCCTAGAGCAATGTCCAGATATCCAATCCTATCTCCACCAAAAAACTTCCCTCCTTTGCTGCAACTCTTGAAGACATCCTCCAAGGGAGCTAGCACTTCAACAAGATTGTCTATTACCTCTTTCTTGATGACTTCATCTCCGGCAGATGACACTTCAAGTAAAACTGGAAGTACCTAAACAAATATCTAGTATTGGTCAAATATAAGGATATAAACTACATACGTTGTTTTAAACAGGAGTAAAAACAATGTCATATTTCAAAGTAAAGTTTTCCCCTAAATAAAAGAAAAAACCTGTCGTATGCCAATTATGGCACTGGTACAGTCATAATCATGACAAAATATGTAATATGATTTCCAGATGACAATAACTTACGGAGTTACAGGAATTTATAGACTCAAATTTTGAAATATCGGATTGCTTTTACTTATATTCAAGGAAAACTGACTATAAACTAACACATAGGGTTTTAGACTATATTCCCAAAAAACACATGCCTTATTATCAATATAAAAAGACCAGAATTTTGTCACTGCCCTATCATAAGGATCACAAGGGAAAATGGATGGCCCAGAAGTAACCCAGACATCATCAATATACTGAACAATAATGGTAGATTCTGATATGGGCTTGTCATTGTGGATTAGGACAGGTATTTTCTTGTAAACAGGGTTTAGTCTCAGAAGAAGTTCACTCTTAAGATGTAATTTTTCCTCAATAAATTCATAGTTGAGTGACTTAAGGTTAAGAGCCACTTGGACACGAAGCACATAAGGACTCCACTTTGTTCCCAATAACTTAACGTCGTCCGATGCCATGAGGGTTATCGATTGGATCCAAAAGAAAATCTAAATGGAACGGACAGAGAATAGGGAAAGCGAGCTAAGCTTGAAAAAAATGAAGTGTTTGTGCGTATTTAATATGTATACGGAGTATTATTTATAGACACCATTGAAGTGCTTACATTTCTGATAAGCTAGTCAACATTTTTGTGCCAATTGTATCAAATGCTTGACTGACTTCTTCAATATATACAAAAGTAAAAGAACATAAAGTGTCACACTGAAAGGGATGTGATCTGAAGCTGGCTTTGTTTGGTGAGTGATCTATATGACAAGGTCCATGCGGGAGACTTGAAATGCATAATTATTTACTCTCCCATCTCATAGAAAGTTCTCACTTTTCTTTTAAGGACGTCTCATATATAGGTTCTCATTTCTATTTTAAGAAACAATTAACACTTTTAAATGACAATTTAATCATTAAATATTAAAATAGTACATTTATAACATCACAGTTATTACCACTAACTCAATTATCATATACCTATCAAAATTATTTCTCAAAATATACTCAAATTATCTTATTTAATTGTTGCCTAAATAATCATGTCATTTGGTCATGGGAATCTTTAAACAGGACAGGGGAAGTACTTCATAATTAAGGAAAAGACTCAACGCTAGTTTAGTGTGAACTCAAGTTGTATTTAAATATTAAATGGACTTTTTGATGAATAATATTTTGTATTGACTTTTTTCTTATACTCTTACCACAAAAGGTAAAAAGGGGTAAAATCAAAAGACTAGGTAAATGACCAGGGGTGAATTGGAGGGTATAACTGTTTGTAACATAAAAATATTACTTTTTCTGGAAGTGCAAACTTTAATATAGGATTTTTTTAAAAAAGAAAAATGAAAACTATGCAGCATTAATAATAAAGTTTGAGGAATATTTTCTGTCAGTATCTGGCCTATGTCGAATATGGTGCATAAAGATCATCAAACACACAAAATAATGAAGATTATATGACTAAATAGAACTGAGGTGGTTATTTGAGTAGTAGATGAGGAGGTTGTGTGATTTATTAAGAAAAGTGGGCTCTCATCTACCTCCGTCCACTAACATTTGGACATAAGGAAGTAGTGTGCTTATTAAGAAAAAAAGTGGATTTATGTGGTTGATATTGATAAAAGCATGGCAGCCAAGTCGAAGAATCGTGCAACTCCACACGAGCAGATTTCAAGATACTTCTTCAGGAAGGATTAATCACATGTACATAACCTAGTATAGTGTTTCGTTTCGTTTACGAGACACCTCTCTATTGCTTCATCAAATAGCTCAAAAACCCTATCGATCTCTCCTTCCTCAAATGTCATATCTGCAAATAAACAGATAATTCTTTATCTACAGGACTACAACCAACCCTTCTTTCCTCATCTCTTCAAAAAAAACACTTTGCTTCAGAAAACTTTTTCCACTTCCAGAAACCCTTAATGAGTGCATGATATGTATCAAGTATCAACCTTTGGTTTATAACCCTTCCCAACCATTTCTTTATGTAAAAACCAAGCTTCCTTCATATTCCTAGCTTTGCAATGTCCTATTATCAATATGTTATATGAATTACTATCCGGCTTAACAGCTTTTCTGATCATCCCCTAGCAAATCTCAGATGCAACATGAATGTTAAATGTTATTCCTATACAATATAGCTACATCAGAGAATTGTAAGTGCTCGCATTTGGAAGTATACCTTTATCCATCATCCAACCCTGAATCTCCCTACCCTCTTCAAGATGTGCCTTTTCCATTTCTCCAGATTTACAATAAGCATCCATTAGTGTAGTGTGGGTAAAACAGTCAGGTAGCATGTCAAATGCTTCCCATTCTATCATCACCTTTAGTGCTTGGGAAATATTTCCATCTTTGCAAAAACCATTAATAAGTGAACTGTAAGTGTAAATGTTCAACTCAAGTCCCTTTTCACACATCTCCTGAAGAAGTTCAGGCACCATATCAAGTTCAGCCAATGCGGTATAAGTGACAACAATCTGGACCAATCCATTCCTGAACAAGCAATGACATCCCTCCATGTAGAAGAATCAAATTCACCCCATCACCTGTAAACAATGATTATGTATCACACTTTGAATCTCAATTCCAAACATAAGCTAATAGAGGAAACGGTCTTATTTTCAGAAATTACAGAAGTTAAAATTGCAATAAATTGATTTTGCTTGAGAGTACATTGCACCAGCATTTCATCAAGCAGTTGTGAAGCAAACATTGTGATACCAATGGAGCAAAAAAGCATGTTCATATTTAAATTAAAATCAAAGAATGATAAAAGGATAGAACTCTAACTGGAGAAAATCAATTGTAGAAAGAAAATCACTTCTTATAATTTATAAAAACAAAAAAATACATCAAGTTTTTCCCATATCGCCATACGTATTTATTGCTTGTCATACTCATACATAGGTCTCTTGGGTATAAAATAAAATACAAGTAACAAATTGAAAGGAGCAAGATCACAAGTAAAATTTTAAATAGCTTGGGTTCTGCTCTTAAAGAAAGCCTTTGCAAACTCGACCAACTTATCAGTTGAAGGTAACACATCTCTAACGGCTTCTTCGGCTGCAAAATCATCAACCCAATGGGACAAATTGGGAAATTTGATTTCATCAAACAATTTAACATTGTTAAGCACCTCATTGGCTTTGAACCAACCTACGAAACTTCCCAGAACTATGTCTAGAATTCCAATCTTGTCTCCGCCAAAGAATTTCCCGCCTTTGCTGCAATTCTTAAAGACATCCTCCAAGGGAAATACCGCTTCAACAAGATTATCTATTGCCTCTTTTTCTACTCCCTCGTTGGCTGCAGCTGGTAATCCGCTTAAAATCGGAAATATCTAAACCATAATAGAATAAGTTAAGACTTAAGACGCCTCATAAAATGCAAAGACGACTGCACGGATCATTGAATCAAATATACATTACCAAAAAGAAGACGCATACCTTATCGTCAATATAAACCGCCCAAAATCGGTTCATGGCCCGATCATAAGGATCGGTAGGGAACAAGGAGGAATCAGAAGTAGTCCAGACATCTTCGATATACTGAATGATGACGAGAGATTCACATATGGGCTTGTCCTTGTGGACGAGGACGGGTATTTTCTTGTAAATCGGGTTTAGTTGAAGAAGAAGCTCACTCTTAGGCTTTATTTGCACCTCAACAAATTCATAATCTATAGATTTAAGGTTAAGAAGGACTCTAATACGAAGCACATAAGGGCTCCACCAAGCTCCCAACAGCTTAACCTGGTCAGATGCCATGAGGATGATCGATCGGATTCAAAATATTGAACAGAGGTAAAATTAAGCTTATAAATATGAGCCGTTTGTGTGTGTATTTAAAGCACAAACTTGGGAGATCAGGCAAGTAGAGAGAGCATCAACTTTTTTTTATTACAAAAGAGCAGTTGTTATATTAACATCCATGATACATGCAACAATTCATTTGAATGCCTTCCCGATTGAATTGTTAGCTTAAATTTGGTATAAGTAAACTAGACCTAATGAATAAGACGCTCAAAACAAATCAACAAACAATTTCACCGGGAACCACCCCAAATGGCGACGGCCGGACAGAGCCTCCTAAATAAGGTCTTATTTGACCTTTTTTTGTTAGTACGTGATCTTATTTGCCCATTTTCCCTATCTCATAAAATAATCTCAACTCCTCGTCCATAATCTAAAAAAAATCCCCTACGTCATCAAAATGATCCCAAAAATAATCTATGGATGGGGATGTCCTAAACTAGAGAGAGCGCTAACTTGAAAGTCAACGTTTCTGTTTTAGTGCCAACTTTAAAACATTCACTAATTTAATGGGACAAAAAGTTTACGAAATGCAATGTAAAATTGATAGAGATGTGAGGATGGAGTCTATCCGTCGAGGCACCACTAACTTGAAAGTCAACGTTTCTGTTTTAGTGCCAACTTTAAAACATTCACTAATTTAATGGGACAAAAAGTTTACGAAGTGCAATGTAAAATTGATAGAGATGTGAGGAGGGAGTCTATCCGTCGAGGCACCACACTAAAAAAATAAACTCAGATTCCCTTTGATAAAATATATTTTAATTTTTTCGGATATATTTGTAAAGTAAAGAAATTATTAAATGAAAATAATTAAAATAGTCTCTACAGTAACTTCAATCAATATAATTAAACAAATTAACTATTTACCCTAAAAAGTTTATTGATAGGATTGATAAAGTGAAAATATAAATTGTTAGTTTTATATTTCAATAAATGACACTATGAAAAGGAATGATACAAAAATATACACCATTCTTACTAAAATGTTTGTGATGTCAATATTTCTTAGTCAATACATGTTTGCTTTATTTGCTTATTTTGCATATCGATTTTTTTATATATTCTACTTTGGATTTTGCTACTATATAAAATTTTCAATGTTGTTTCTTTTTATGTAAATTTTAATTATTAAAATTAATTTAGTTATCTGCAAGGATAATTTAACTTTATCATTCCTAAACCTTAACAATCGTAGATTGCCTTTGAATTCGAAATAGAAAAAGTGTATTTTTATAGGTCAAATATTAAAAAAACTTTTGAAAGAGTAATATGTCACTTAATATAAAACAGAATGAAGTATTTATGTTGCTATGAAAACTGACATGTATTAAATGACATGTATCCCTTTTCGAAACTTTTTTATTATTTACTCCCTCCGTTCCATAGAAGTTGACTAAAATTGACTTGCACGTAAAATAATAAAATAAAAACTAGGTGGTAAAGATTTGTACAGATGAGAGAAAAATAATTTTAGCAACATATTTGTTAATCTAAATGAAAATGACAAAGTTTTTTTAGACGGCCAAAAAAAGAAATTTGGCCACTGTGTTATGGAACAAATGTAGTAAATCATCTCCAATTTTGAAAATTTTCACTTTAAATTTGCAGATATATTTTTTTCTACATCTTTCACTTTTCTTCTTCTCTTTAGTTTTTCAGGTTTTCCCTTCTTTCTTCTCCATTTTTTATGCTTCTCCTTGCATTTTATATTTTTTAGAAAAAAGAGAGGAAGTGGTAATGTTTATTGATTGTGAACTCACTCTCTCATAAGGGAGATCTTGTGTTCAAAATTCCATGAAAGCAATTTCAATTTGGTTCTATTTATTCCAAACCCCCCTCCCCATATTGCCCCTGTTTTAAAAAATAAACAAAAAATGATATGAACATAACTATATCTTATGTTTTAAAAAATATACTTTTGCGAGGCAAAAATATAACCATATCTTATGTGGATGAAGAAGTGGCTAAACATAGAATGAAATGTGAAGTGCCCCATATATTTATACTTGAGAGTTGAGACTCTAGTTTAATAGCAACCGTATGTCAACTCCTCTTCGTAATCCCTAGACGACAAATGATCATCTCTGTTGGCCAATCCTATGCGACAAACACAATAGATGATAGGCCTGCGGAGTGTTACTGAACAGGAATACTATCTCTACAATACTATAAGCATAGAAAAAATGTTAGTGTCTCTTTGTGCATTAAAGCATTGTACGTCGTGCTTACTTCACCGCTCAATCTCAAGATGGTATTCTCCACGTCATCTCAGTTAATATCACCCCTGAGACCATCCAATATTTTCCCAACCTCTTCAGTTACTATGGATATGATACGGCAAATGGATGGCTAACAACAATTCACGTGAGCCTCCGACTGATCTTGATTCTGCGACGACCGGTCGAGGGAAAGAAACTCCCACTGTTGTCAGATCTTGCAATTCTCGGTCAATTTTTTGTCCAGCAATGGGTTGCAGATAGAAAGAAGCATAAGGAACCATGGTGAATCAGGATCTTGTAGTCATGTCTCTGTTCCGGGGTCATCTGTAAGTCATCTCTCAGGGGTTGCAGCAGAGAAATTTTCCTTCGATGATCTAAATCCCAATCTCAGACAATTGCCGCCTAGCCAATCTGTGAGGGGTGTTCTGCAACCTTCATCACCTGAAGAGGTAGATGTTTCCGCACTCCCACTATGATATGAGAGTTTAGATATAAAGAAGGTTGTATCAACACAGTGACTTTAATTTAAGCGTTGAGCATTTCTTGACTTGAAATTCCTTGAAAACTAACTTGCTTCCCCCCCCCCCCCCCCTCTCCTTTCAGTCCATGGTTGCTTGGTTGCTCATCTTCTTGCTAGATCCAACTTGCTAATTACTAGAGATACAGAATGGGCAAATCTTGGTATTCGCTTTGAGCAAGTAAGCTCTTTAATTATTTGACAGATTTTCCCTTGTGTAATAAGGTTAGTTGGTTCACAATTGTATAGTTTTTAGAGTTGAAAACTGTACTGACTTTGCAAGCATGCTCTTGTTAATGCTTATTATCTCATGAACTCTCTTTGTTTTGCTTCCTTGTAGACTCTACATATGCACTTTCACAGTAAATTAAGATAACAATAAATTTTATTCCTTTTAAATCTTAGCCCTCTTCTTCTTTATAGGAGAAGCACCAAGCACCATTTGAGTTTCTGGCATTCATACAAAAGTCAAATTATTAGTGATATAGAGCTTTTGTATGTTGCATACATATGGTCTCTCAGTTTCCTGCATTCACACTAAAAGCAATAATGTTAGAGACTTACTGACTTAGAGCTTCTATATGATGCTTGCTCATCATTTTGATGAAGAGTCAAATAAAATTTAGAAAAGAGAGGAGAATGTGATAAGTCCAAGCCCTTGAGTACTTTTAAGAAACTTTCTCAATGTGCAGTGATGATTATACTGATCATTTTTGTATAAGCTCCCCAGAATTGATCCGTCGAATTTGTTTGTTTTTTCAAATGCTTTTGCTAGAGTTCACCAACCATCCTGATAGTATTAACTATTAAGGGTTCTACTGGAAAAGTATTTAGTGTTTGAGTCATGCCACTTCTTAACTTTCTCAAATTCCTCGAAACCCGAGGGAGGAACTTCTTGGATGGGGTCAAGTGATGTAATACCTGGATGTATCATGGATCGTGGGGCAGATACCGGTTTCGACGAAATGTGCTCAAATACAGATTTAACCGGCTTTTGAGGGTCTCAGGGGGGGGGGGTCATATAGGCCTCATGATTAGGTGGCCGACGCTCATAAACAGGGAATATATAAAAAGCCTTCATGTTTTCACGCTTTTGATATGTTGAGTCTTTCCTCCACTGTTTATTGTTCTACTCCGTGTTTTTTTCTTTTTTATTCTGATGAGGTTGTAATAATTGGTAGTACCTCGTAATTGTAGGAAAACAGGCCATATTTATACGGAATAATTTGTTAACCTGTTAATTAGTTAATTCTCACTAACCTATTTTTCAAATGGCCCAAAACCAGGGCTGAGAGACTCGGTTTACTGAGTGATGCCACTACATTCTTTTTATTCAAAGCTCTTTGATCTAGGAGAGAATGCAAGATTCATCCTTACATTGGTCCATTTTTTTAATAGGTGTGATCTGAATCCAAGTTTGTTGCTTAGGTGGGTATGTTGTGTGTGTTATTTAAATTGTGTTGTATTTTTCTTTCATGACATGCTTAAGCTAAAACGTGTATGAGTCATTATTACAATAATCATTGTTCTAATTATTATGCTTGTCAACTATGTATACAAATACTCCATGAGATCAGATTTTAAAATGATCATGCTTGTTTTCCATCTTTCCTTTACGTGTGTACTAAATTATACTGCGTCTAAATTATGAGTTGCGGAAACAACCAGACTATGGAAATTGGCGGGCCACCGCTGATGGCAGTGGTCCGTCTTTTCGTCTCGACAAATCCAGAAACCACCATGGCTATACTGGATAGACCGAGACCAAAACCTATCCTTTGTAGCATTGTGATATCGCCCTCGTTCCCTGTCCTCTTCCGGAGGTAGGGAATGAGGACACGGTCATAAACGGACGAGGGAGACGACGAAGATGGATCCAGCCGGGATTTGGAAATGCGGGCCGAGATGGCGGTCCATGTGTAGGGCTTGGGAGAATGTAAATGTTCCTTGTTGCATTATGGCCAGTGAGCATATGATTCCGGCCGGCCATATTGGGATTACTTTAAGGATACATTTCACTTCTTCCATTTGTTGAATACGAGCCTCCATGGGTTTGTGCATTTACCGTTATCGGAATTTATGTCTCCATCCGTCACTACTGCAGCTTTGTTTAAGAACCTGTCCATCATATATTTTTAAGTTTTAATTACAAAATTAATAAGATGGAAATCTATATCCGTCTTTTGGGACAGAAATGCATAAAAGACACTTTAACTACTCCCTCAATCCCAAAATTATTGTCCTGTTTGGTTTTTCACACAGATTAAGAAAATGACACTGTAGCGACACTGTTT